ATGGGGAAAACATTAGTTGAAAAGGGAAAGTGATCTGAACATATTTTGCGATATCGAATTCCAATAATTGATAGGAGATCATAGTGACGTCTTTTTCTAATATGTCAAGTATATATTATAAAATTATTATGACTACAATCGGGTACCTCCGCTAGTTTATATTATAATCTTGAGGAGTTAGTTTTTTTGCACTCCTTACTACCTTTTTAGCGTGCCAATCATCCCGAAGTTTTCGGTCGTTGCAATCCCACTGAATGAAAAGTTTTTTTCGATACCACTAATTTCAGATACCACTCATTTCGGTTTTGTCTAAATGAACAGTCGTTCCAATATGACTGAAGAACCAGATTGCTTACTGAGATTCAGTCTTCGTGCTCCCTCTTATTAACAACGAGTTTCTGCTGAGAACTCCGTTGTTGTAGCTGAGTACAAGAAAAGTTTCAGTCTAACATTAAGATCTACATTGCTGACAACAACTTAGCGTCAGAATGTTTTAATTCTTGTGAATAACTTCTTTGCAATAGTTGAATACACTTTTGTTTCTAATTTTGTCTTGATTACCTTGCGAAGAAGTTATTCTGAGAAGAGACACGAATTCAAAAAAAGCACGTTTTATCATGTCGCGGTGTAGTTCATCATGAACTGATCAAGAGACGTTGGTTGTGAATAAAGCAAATACCTGCTGATTTTTCATCTTCACAACAGGTTTTTCTCTGTAAATAATTCGACAGTATCGAGTATTACTGTAAGATTCTGACAGAGATACAAAAGCTTGTTGATGTTTTCAAAAAATTCTTTTATTTCTGATATTTTTATGCAGCAACTATGCCGATCTTGAATAAACTCCGTGATAAGCTTACGGTTATGTGCTACTTAAGAATTGTTGAATCCTAATGAGTATCTCGATCAGCTAACTTAGTACTTTATGTTGATCAGTTTTGTGAATTAACTTCGTAAATAACAGTTGAATTAAGATTCTGAACGATATGTTTCTTTCGTGATTCTTCCACTAAATATGTCCATTCATCCTTAACTCAAAAGCAAATATTTGTTATTTTGAAGAATTTTTTTGATTTAAAATTCGATCGATCGCTTTCTCTTACGAACGTTGTTGTTTTCGTTGAGAAGCACATGTATCATTGCAATGGTCTTTCTTAAGATGCAGAACATCTTTCATGTTAAAGAGAATTGTGAATAAATCCTGTTGGACTGGTAGCAAATTCGCTTGGATAGAGACTCAAAAGAGAATTTCGATTCATAAAATTTTTTTTTCAAAATTTTTATTGTTTCTAATTATCTCTGAAAGTCGTTTTTATTCATGCTTTGGTTGTTGGAATGACAATCAATTGTTTATATAAATTAAAACTTATCGAATTAGCTCCTGAACTATAAGCGGTGGGATTCATGTGGAGTTTGTGGAGGATTAAGGTCTAGAAACATATCATAAAACGGATCTGGATCAAAGTATTCTGAACCTGATAGACTGTAACTGTCAGCATGCAACTCTATTCCTCACACATTTGCATGTTTGGAACACTCCAGCATCCTTTCTTGGCAAGAAAGAAATTCTCCTTTTTTCCTCCTTTTTTGAGAGTAATCCTCCCAAATATTCGAGTCATAAATCCTCCTAATTCCTCCTTTTCTTCATATGGCCGCTAACATACCAGATTGCTATCGATGCAATATTCAAAGTCAGTTGTGTCTAAATTACACACAAAATGTTCTAAGACATCTGGTTATTTATTTGACTCACTTATGATCGAATTACATAGAGTCGGCTCTGGTCCAGATTCACAAACTTTCTCAATACAATCCAAAAGCTCAATGAGATGGTTAAAATAGGAAGAAGCATCTAAGAATTTCTTCCATCTATTAGGATTGATGAAGTTCAAATAAGTATTGGCAAAAATTGAGAAAAGATATGTTTAGAAGTGTAAGAATGGTCAGCAAGCTGTATTTGTTATAAGGTCAACTAAAGTTGATTAGGGTTACTTTTTTGCATAAGCATCATTCACTTGGAGTGAGTATTAATCTGATGAAAACTAAAAACTAATTGCTAAGATCTTCATTACTTGTTTGTCAGATCTCTTATTTATTTCAAGCAGAAACTTTTATTATAATTTCGAGAAATATCTCTTTGAGAAAGTTATATTAATAGCAAGGCTACATATATATTAAGCATAAGATTCTGCGGTTCCAAGTTTTCTTATATGTAAAAATTCATTGACCTATTTAAACAGAAGATCATGAACAATCAAAATAACGAATACTTAGCGGATTGATCATAAAAATGTTTCTCATCGTCTCACATATTCTTCATATTCCCTTTTTTCGATGGCCATTCTATAAATAACCTTATAGTATATAAGGTAAAAAAATTCGCTCTGATAATTTCATCTAGGGCGAGGGGTCCTGAAAAAATGACAAATGATGACATAGGGGGAAGGGGTCCAAAAAACCTCAAAAAAGTGATGACTTAATATGTGAATAGTCGCAAATGAAGAAAAAAGATTTTATCGAGAAGCAGCTAATATTATCGAACAAAATACAAAAGCTGAATTAAAATTAAATGTATCAATGAAACAACAATTTGCTGATTTTGTTAAGTCATTTAATATACATTCTGATGAATTTGACAAAGCATTAGCACAATGTGATCCCAAAAAAGATCTCAATCAATGGAAAGAAAATATTCTTCAGAAAAATCCTGAACAATCATGCAAATCTTCAGATGAAGAGGAAGATTATGATGATCAGAAAACCAATTGGTATCCAAAATCTGTTCAATCTCGATCCATTGAAAATGAAGATAGTGATGAGGAAACCTATAAACGCCAAAAATCTGTCAAATCTCGATCCATTAAAAATGAAGATGATGATGAAGAAACCTATCAACGTCAAAAATCTGTCAAATCTCGATCACGTGCAAATGTAAATATTGATAAAAAAAATTGTCAGCCTTTTAAATATGTCAAATCTCAATCAATTGACAATGAAAATAGTGATAACAAAAAAACTATACGTCAGACATCACGTCGATCTTCATCAGTTATAGATAAAAATCGTGATAAAAAGATAAAGTCACCTCAGGAATTATCCAAATTTCAGCCAGTTGATACTGATGATGACAACTAAAGATGTCAACATATTATTAGATCAAGCATAAATTTTACATATATTTTCACTTTTTTATTCATTTTCTTAATAAAGATAATCTTAATATACACGATTTAGAATATTAAATCATTGATTAAAATAACTTCTAATCAGTTATTTTTTCAGTTCATCAAGATTCAATAGATAGAGTACCATGTTATAATTTGATCATCACTTTCAGTACTTTTCAGAAAATGACTCATAACTTTGCTCAATGACATCTGTTCGAGGTTATTTTTAGTTTCCGAGATAGAGTGATCGACACTCTACAGTTTAATCTTTTTTTTTGTGTTTCTTCTGTGATCAAATTATGGCACTCAGCTTAATTCGATCACTACAGCTAGTCTTTCGTCTTAGTTTGATCAGCTAATGTAAAATGTACAAACACATCCCAAGAAATTCTATTTTAAGTATGAGGGTGTGGGTGTGGGTGTGTGGGTGTGGGTGTGTGGGTGTGGGTGTGGGTGTGGGGTGTGGGTGTGTGGGTGTGGGTATAGGTGTAGGCGTTTCCTCCTCACACATCGACACCCACACCCAAATCCATACACCCACACCCACGTCCACACCCACACCCACACTCACACCCACACCCACACTCACACCCCACACACGCACCCACACCCATACCCACACCCACACCCACACCCACCCACACCCACACCCACGCACACCCACACCCACACCCTTATTAGTTAGTCTAAAAAACTAAGGAGATGATTTAATATGAGAAATTTCATTGTGCTTTGAATCAATGATGAGGATATGTTCTGAAAATTAAATTAATTATGGTGGTCTGAGAAAGCGTTTTAGACTATTCGAGTCGTTCGTGTTTTATCAGCTTTTACTTTTGAACCGAATGAACTAGAAGTTTCTGAGGGCTGCGCAAGTACGAGTACAACTTGTACCACTCGGTTCACAGTTAACTATGTACCACCTTGTGCCTCTTTGTATCACCTTGTATCGGGTCCTTGTATCTATATAATAACATGTATACCCGGGAAAACCTAGAATTCTAGAAATCATGTACCACCATGTGCCACCTCGTGGATGTGAGTGTGAGTACGTGAAGAGAGAATTCAGATCCATACCCACTCACACCGACCCACGCCCTCGTCCACACCCACCCGCACCGTCACCCACGCTCACACCCAGATGATACAAAGTGGTACATGAATTCTAGAATTCTAGGTTTTTCCAGGGTATATATGGCATTATGTCGATACATGGATCCGATACAAAGTGGTATAAGGTGGTACATGAATTCCGTGTGCCACCTTATACCACCTTGTACCATTATGTATCACCTTGTATCGGGTCCATGTATCGATATAATGCCATATATATCCCGGAAAAACCTAGAATTCTAGAATTCATGTACCACCATGTACCAGCTTATACCGCCTTGTATCGTGCCCATGTATCGATGTGATACAATATGATACATGAACCCGATGCAAGATGGTACATGTTGGTACATAGTTAGCTGTGAATCGAGTGGTACAAGTTGTATCCGTAGTTGCGCACCTCTGAAGTTTCTGCTATTTAGACTGTTTTGCTAGCGACAGTTTATTGTGAAGCATGATCCAGTGTCCGAAGACGCGCCAGCTATTGACTACTGTTGAGTCGGATGTTCGAATCCACCTTATGTCTACTATTTTTATTCTTCTCCTGTTTTACGAACTAGTCTGGACAGGCTAAATAGACAAACAGACTAGGCATGACGATGTTTAAGGACGCTTTGGGCTAGTCAGGGCGTGATTGAAGAACACTTCTCGTCAGCATAACTAGTCATGACGCACCGGAGAGACATTTCAGACTAGATCTGACAGGTATTCTGGACTTTTTGGAGTAGTTATGTAGCCCGTCATCACTCATTTTTTGCCTACTTGGGTTCAGCCTTGAATACTAATACGTCCCATCGTTGCTGAAATCCATACACCAATAGAATTTTTTGCAAAATTTTTGAATGGTCTTCTTGCATCCATCTATTTACAAGTGGCTCATGAAACTACATTTACTAGTAGTATTGATGTTGTTCGAAAATTAGAAAAATATGCTGCTGATGGTTCTCTTAAACCTACAACGAAGCTTATTACAGCTGATGTTGAAAATCTTTATAGCATGGTACCACGAGAAGGAGGCATTGCTGCATTAGTTCGATTTTTGGACAAATATTCTAAATACCGCAAGATAGGTTCATTTACTATAGATATGATTTTAAAAATGGCTCGTCTAATTTTGAATACAAATTATTTTGCATATAAAAATAAATATTATGAACAGAAGCGTAGTGAAGCTATGGGTTTAGCAATTTACCCAATTTTTTGCCAATATTTATATGTTAGAATGGGAGCAGAAATTAATTGAACATCAAGCATCCAAACATGAAATTTATGGAAGATTGGTTTGAAACTTAAAATATAAACATAAGCTACTTATTTCTCGTTTTAGGTACATCAATGATATTTTTATCACCATGAACGAACCATTTGATAAAATAACAAACGAACTTGACAACGCTACACAAAATGATGTTGAAATAAAAATTAAACCTACAATTAGTCAATCTAGTGAATTTCTTGACAGCCCTATTGCAAATAACAATGAAGTACTGAAAACGTTCGTCTATCACCAACCAAGTGCAGACCCATAGTATTTACCATATACATCAGATCATCCACATCGTATTCATCGTAATATACCATACAGTACATTACTAGTTGTCGTATGTCTCTGTTCCAATCTTCATGATTTTCATTTAGAACGATTACACATTGATGTATCATTGCTATTAAATAATTCCCCACCAAAATTTATAACGAAACAATTTGTTCGATTTTTTCAAGTCAATAAAGCTGACATTCTAATCAAACGATTCGACGAAAAATCTTATCAACAACTACATCGAAAATTACTTTACCAACCGACAAAACATAAAACTGAATGTACAAACACCAAAAAAGATCTTGTCTTATTTCCACCTGTATTACAACAAAACCATGGAATCCAAAACTGATGTACCTACAATACAAATTTCAAAGCGGAACAACCTCGAAATTTCCTAAACACTTTTTGAAATGGTGGCAAAAACATTATCAATGTCCAGGGTCACCAGTCAACGGGATTCAAATTCGCCTTATACCGAAAATCAATCGAACGTTACAAAGCTTTTTAATTCACAAAACGTCACCAAAAGCGATTATCACAAGAATGTGAACAGTGTCACACTAATGACAATTCATAAGATATTTTTTTCTAGATGTTTTATTATATTACGCGAACTATACGTTTGCTTTACTTGAATATAATATTGACAATAAATCTAAACACAAAATAACTCTATAGTCTGATACTTTACATTACGTCTACACAAATCTATTCCATTTCAGATATTCTCACAATAGAACGAACAATTAAAACACACATTTACAAAACATTCACAAATGAAAAAAAATTATCATAAAAATCATTCAAAGTAAGAAACTTTATAAAATAAAATTTTTCGACTCTATTCTTAGGATATGAACAATACAAAGCAAAAAGCGCAAAACCATCGTGTAATGCTCTGAATTTCGAATATTATCTTCTATAGACTGTTTTTTCGGCGACATGAAATCTGGATCTTGACATTTAGAGACACACTCACACTAACGCACACCACTAGATTCTTCTATTACAAGATAGTTTCTATACATCTTGTAACTTTGAAGATATATCTTGTTTTGGATTTTTTCTGTTCAAAAAATTCAAAATAGATAAGCCATTTGAGGAGTCCCTTGAGGAAGGACGAAACCAGTCGTGGTATGCTCTTCTGATATGCAGTTAAATTAGATTCCGAACTTACTTGATGATAACTCTTCAGCAAGGTCGAAACGCGTCGTAAGTATGCTTGATTTCTAAAAAATTCAATTCTATACACACGTATATTGTTGAATTTTACTGTGATTTCTAATATTTCTTTGTTTCTTCATTTCCCTGTTTCAAAATGAAGAAGAAAAGATATTTTGATGGTCAATTTAAAAAAATTTGTTGGTAATTTCGTTTCTTCATGAGATTTTCATAGACTTTTTCTTGTTTTTAAAAACAAACAAGTAAACAGTGATTCATAGTCTATTTTACATTGATGAAATAATATTGAAAAATTTCAGAATATCTATTCTACCAATGTAAATGTAGTTATGAATCAATGCATGGTAGTTTCATTCCACTCTACGGATTTTCACGTTCAAAATTGATTAATTT